TAATAGTTACATAGAAATTATTTGTGACATTTTAAGGGTTAAAATGGTCAAGCATAATTAATTATATTTAATTATTATATCTTAAAGTGTTAAGATTAATGAGATGAACAAAATAACCTTTTAATAGTTAAGGGTAAAGGGTAAATTTATGGGTTGATAATGTAAACTAGTTAGTTTACATGGGCCCTTGAATAATATTGATTATTCAAAGGGTAGATATTAAATTCGTGAAGAGTTATTGGCTTAGAAGTGAAAAATAAATAATTGCAAATTGTCCATGTATATATAAGTGCAAAGTGCATTTTGTTAAGTCTTGACTAAGAAATTTGATTGTTCACAAAACACAACAAGAAACCTCTCCAAACCCACGACCACTCTCTAATCTCCAAGGTGGGTTAAAGTGTAGATTCATCATTTTGAAGCTAATCTTCATCAATCCAAGCAAGGAGTAGGATAATTTTATTTCCATGCTTTGTATGAAAAACGGTTTTGAATCCATCCTTTTATGCTTCTTCTCCATTTCCACCACTCTTCATGCATGCATGCTGTTCACAGAAACCTCATTCAAAGCCCGTAATTGGCTATGACAGGACTCAAGTAGAACATCTGGTGATGCGTGTGTACTACAACATGCAATGATAGTAAGTAGACTAGTCGCACAAAGCAATAAAGTGATGAGTGAGTATCGTTCCCACGAGGATTGATTGTTAAGTACTAAGTTTCCTAAGTGTTTTTCAAGTTGGAGAAACTGAATTTTTTTGGATTAATGGGAGATTAGAAAATAAACTAAAAACAAAACTTACAAGTGTTAAAAACTAATTAATGAGAGCAAGAATTTAAAGCAAGAGTAATATCAATTTTAACAAATGGTTAGGGTTTTGACTTCGTTCGGACTCTATGGATGAATTTTATGGATTATGCTATTTTCACACTCCACATTCACGGATTGTAAATCGAATTCTCTAAGTTGTCAAACACCTTCCGGCCTATGAATTCCTACTTTTCCCTTTTAAACTCCGCACCAACAATTTGAAGAATAATAGATCAGTTCATTAAGCTAATGGAATCCTAGATTGATTTCATTGATTCTCAAATCTTTCTCTAGCATCAATATACAATGTTGATTACCCACGAAGCTCAACATGATTCATTTCTCAATCTCATCATATTCATCAAATAAAATAAATAAAAATAGACTAACCACATAATCTGTGCAATAAAATATAAAAATAACAATAATCAAATGATTAACCCATAGAAATCCGAGTTACATCAAAACCCTAACCCAAAATGGGTTAGTTCATAACTAAATCAACACAAACAACAAGAAAAACAGTAAACGTAGCATTCAACATATTGAAATAAAGAGAAAAGAAAAGATATCTCTCCTAGTTGAAGAATCCACGAGGTTGTATCTCAAATCTTCTCACTTTCTCAACAAAAATGTCAAATCTATTCTAAGGAAAAAATGAAAACCAGGCGAACTGAGACCACCCTAGATGACCTTTCTCAAAATGACAAAGTTTTCCTTTAATAGTTCGCCCAAAAACCTAAAACTTTTTTAAAATAAAACTGTGCGTTTTAGAGAAAACAAAATTTAGCGCGACGAGGTAAAAAGGACTCTCGTGCTTAACTTCTTTCGCCGCGGCGAAGAATAGACTTTGCCACGGCGAACTTTCATGAAGAATTATGAAATTACAGAATTGCCCTCCGCTTGCTTCTTTGCTTGAATCTTCGATCTTCGATGCTCTCCCATGGGAACAAGCTTCATAGTGCGACACTCTGCTTCAGAACTGTCCCAAATTCTGAGATCCGCTTACTTTTGGATCCAAAAACTCCAATTCGCTTATTATTTGCTCAAAATGTCCATTTTGGCCTGCAACACAAAATATATAGAATTAAGTAGCAATTCAGGCATAAATGAACTAAGAAGTATCTAAAATCCGGCCAAAAAGCCTAATTAAAATAGTATAATTCTCAAATTATCATCTGGTGGATAAATTAATGGAGCGGGCTGAATGTCTGAACTCCGTGCATAAAGTCCAAAGGGCTTAAATGAGAATGCCCCATTCAGATGACCGTAACTTTTGATCCGAGAAGAGTTACGAGGCCTGTAAGATACGTTGGAAACCTCATTCAGAGCCCGTCAGAAGTCCATTGAATTGGCTAATGTAAACATCAAGCAAATGAATTCATGGAGCGGGCTGAACGTCAGAAGTCTGTGCGTAAAGCCCAAAGGGCTTAAATGAGCGTGTCCCATTCAAACGGCCATAACTTTTTATCCGGGAAGAGTTACAGGGCCTGTAAGATACCATTGGAAATCTCAATTAGAGCCCGTTGACATGGACTCATGTAAAATGTCCAATGGATGAATTCACGGAGTGGGCTGAACGTCAGACTCCATGCGTAAAGCTCAAAGGTCTTCAATGAGCATGCCCCATTCAGACGGCCATAACTTTTGATCCGAGAAGAGTTACGGGGCCTGTAAGATACCATTAGAAAACTCATTCAGAGCTTGTCAGAAGTTCGTTGATGTGGACCAATGTAGAATGCCTGGCGGAAGAATTCGTGGAGTGGGCTGAACGTCAAAAGTCCGTGCGTAAAGCCCAAAGGGCTTAAATGAGCATGTCCCATTCAGACGGCCATAACTTTTTATCAGGGAAGAGTTTCAGGGCATATAAGATACACTTGGAAATCTCCTTAAGAACCCGTCAGAAGTCCATCGACGTGGACTAATGTAAAATGTCTAGCGGATGAATTCATGGAGCGGGCTGAACGTTAGAAGTTTGTGCGTAAAGCCCAAAGGGCTTAAATGGGCATGTTCCATTAAGACACCCATAACTTTTGATCCAGGAAGAGATACAAGGCCATAAGATACCGTTGGAAACCTCATTTAGAGCCCGTCAGAAGTTCATCTATGTGGACTAATGTAGTGTAACACCCCACATGAGGTACGTCATTATTGTTTCCTCTTTCGCTCTTATTTGAGTTGGGTTTTGGTAATATTGTTTGATTGAGTGTTGTGTTGAATGCTTGCCCTGAAATTGGTTGAAAATAGAAGAAGTTTAGGGTGCCAAGCTTCGCTGGGGCGAAGGAGAATCTTTGCCGCGGCGAAGATGTGTTGAAACCACGGGGAAACTCTCTGGACAGTTTCGCCGCGGCGGCAGAAGTTTCTTCGCCGCGGCGACAGGCCGATTAAAATGTTGGTNATGCTTTTTGTTGCTTTTTATTGAGTGCAGCAACATATAATGCACTCCCGACCCCCAGAATGTCTTTTTCCATTTTGTGTCCATATCCCAAAAATGACTGAAACAAGTCTCTTTGAATCTTCTTTCACCATTCTTCACTGTCCCTAAAATCCCAGTTATTCTTGTTAAAACATCCCAACTTGACCTCACTGTCACCCTCACAAGGAAGTACGGTACCGTATCGCTTACAACCTCCAATCCGTACTCTCTATAGTTTACGCTCCAGAAAATCTGCACAATAGATATAAACAAAATATCAGCAAAAAAATTAAACCAAATCAAATATAAACAAAATACGCTCCTGAAGAATTGCTTAAGCGATGGGCAGATGATTCTGCCTCATACAAGATCTCTTAAGCGATACAAAGGATCGCTTAAGAGATTATAGATCTGGGCAGATTTGATTCTGCCTTGGAAGAGATCGCTTAAGCGACCAAGAGTAAAAGCAATTCATCACTTTTACTCTTGGTCGCTTAAGCGATTACAGATTGCTTAAGAGATCTTGTACGAGGCAGAATCAACATCTGCCAGATCTAAGATCGCTTAAGCGATCTTTTATATTGCTTAAGCGATTCATCGCTTTTACTCTTAAGCAATCCAAAATAGCTTAAGCAACCAAGAGTAAAAGCCATCAATCACTTAAGCGAGCCTTTGGATCGCTTAAGCGATCTTAGGTCTCGGCAAGTACAAATACCTTTTCTTCGGCGGCCTCCTCTTCCGCGACCTCCTCCTCCTCCTCCTCTGAACTCTCGCCGGACTCCTCTTCCTGGCCTTAATTCTGCCCGGCCTCCTCTTCCTCTTCAGAACTGTTTTGCTCCTGTTCTCCCTCTTGTTGTGCCCCCGTCGTCTCCGCTGCTCAAACACCTTCTTCACTGATCGGAGGATCCATCGGAGTAGCCATTGAACTGCTTGCGCGGCCGGACTCTATGATTCGAATAGGCATTGGGTTTTCCTCCTCATTGTTAATGTCAGCCATAGTTTTAAGAAAAGAAGAAGCTTTAGGATTGAATTTGGGTGTGAAAATTCACCGGAATGTGGACTGTTATCGCCGAAATATGGACTGTTATTGCTAAGATGCGTTTAGGGATTGAAGATATCGATTTTTGCCTTAATTGGTTTCGATTAAGCGATTTGAATATTTGGGGCTCTTTTGTAAATTTCAAATTTTAAAAACTTTCATTAATTATTTTTGTCCTTATATGTTTTAATCTTTTCATTTTAACCCATTTTACATGTTTAATGGATCCTAACTGTGTCACGTCAGCTTCTTCAAATTAAAAAAAAAAAAAGGGTAAACAGTTTCAAGGCCTTTTTTTCAAATCCAAACTTGGGATGACCGGTCAGTTAAATTTCCCCGTTAAATTTCCTCCATTTTCACATTGTGAACACAAACTTCCAAAAATTGGAAAGAGATTGAGTAAGACTTTAAATAACACCACTCTCTCATGTGCCCACTACCCAACATGTTCATTTCTGTAAACCTAACCTGACCCCTAAGATAATGCCAATATTATACATGGATGACAGACACAACGATACTGACAGGTCTTGTTTTACAATAATTTTAAAACATATCTGATGTACGTTGTAATTAAATATTGTAGGAATTCAATTTTAGATATATATACGTAGATTGGCAGTTTTGGCCTTAGGCCTTTGCCAATTTCTTGTGAGTCATTGACACGTGGGCTCCAAAAAGAATTGTTATCGTACTTGACCCTTCATATTTACCAATATAAATTCCTTACTGCTGCATTTTCTTTTCATTCACAAATTAACAATAATATGGCATTCGATATGTCGTCTTGGTGGTGCGATCCCAGCGATGAGAAATGCAAGATTTTCACGGTAATCATCACTTGTTTTGTTGTTGTATTGGGGGTGATCTGGAATCTCAAGAAATCGAAGAGATTAATTCCTCCACTGCCACCGGGTCCCCGTGGTTTTCCAGTAATCGGTTACCTTCCATTTCTTGATTCTCATCTCGCCAAATCATTCACAGAATTGGCTGGAGACTATGGTCCTATTTACAAGGTGTGGCTCGGAAACAAATTATGCGTAGTGGTGAGCTCACCTTCACTGGCAAAAGAAGTGGTTTGTGACCAAGATACAATCTGTGCCAATCGCGACCCGCCGGGCGCAGTACTATTCTCCTCCTATGGTGAGAACAATATTGCCTGGGCCCCTTATGGTTCTGCCTGGAGAAAGTTACGCAAAATATTTGTGACCAACTTGATGAGTAATGCGAGCCTTGAAGTTTGTTACCCTCTAAGAAAACAAGTTATTAAGAAAACTATTAGAGATGTGTACAGCAAAGTTGGAGAGCCTGTAGATGTTGGGGAATTGTCTCTTGCAACTTTGATCAATGTGGTTCAGAACATGATGTGGGGTGGCTCGCTTGAAGGAGAGAAGAGGACCAATCTTGGGGTTGACTTACGAGAGTTATTTGCAGAATTCATGGTGCTCCTAGCAACACCAAATGTTTCAGACCTCTTTCCGGTGCTTTCGAGGTTTGATTTACAGGGAATACAAAAGCGGACAAAGAAACTTTTGTCCTCTATCGAAAGGATTATTCTTGATCCCGTTATAGAGGGATATAGGAATACCGAATCGGTTAAAGAGGGAGAAGGGAAAAATGAAAAGAAGGATTTCTTGCAGCTCCTCCTCGAGCTTACTGAGCATAAAGATAGTGCAAATTCAATTACGAAGAGCCAACTTAAGGCGTTGCTTTTGGTATAGTTGCTGATTCGTAAATAGTCTTATTTATTATTTCCTAAGAATTTTTCCATCTCAGTGTTGTTATTTTCTTCACAGGACATGATTTTGGGTGGAACCGACACAACAACCACTATGGCGGAGTGGACAATGGCAGAATTGATGAAACATCCGGAAATAATGAAGAAGGTTCAAGAAGAATTAGCTGAGGTTGTAGGCATGGATGGCTCGGTGGAAGAGTTTCACTTGCCTAAGTTGAAGTACTTAGATGCTGTTGTGAAAGAAACATTACGTCTCCACCCGGCTCTTCCCTTTCTAGTACCACGTTCTCCGAGCGAAACTTGCACTATTGGCGGCTATACCATACCCAAAGGTTCAAGAATTATGATAAATGTTGGGGCTATCCAGACAGATCCTCGGTTTTGGGAGAACCCCTTGGAATTTCGACCTGAAAGGTTCTTGAATGACCCTGGAAAATTTGATTACATGGGAAAAAATTTCCAGTATATGCCATTTGGTTCAGGTAGGAGAGTTTGCCCGGGGATTAACTTGGCAGAGAAAATGCTTATGTCTGTATTGGCTTCATTGTTGCACTCCTTTGAGTGGAAATTGCCAGATGGTACTGAGTTGGATCTTTCTGACCAATTTGGGATTGTTGTGAAGAAAATGAAGCCTTTGATCGCCGTTCCAACACCAAGATTATCGAATTTGGAGCTTTATTAGTATGACATCTTCTCTTTATTAGTATGATATCTAGAAGGTGCTTAATTATTTAGCATTTTCGCGGTGGACTCAAAATGGGTAGGTATTTGCAAAATAAAACTTGTCTTGGGCCAAAAAGGGAGCTTTATGTGGCCCGTTTGTAAGTTCTATTTTCAAGCATCCAATGTTAAAAAATGAATAGGCACCATCATTAATCTGTGGTTGTGTTGCTTCAATTGTATGGTTAATGTCCAATAATGTCTCTTACTAATGTGCTTGAACTTGTATGTTGTTGATTCTGTGGTATCATTTTTATTAATTAGTTTAGTTTCTGAGGGTAGATTTTGCTTGACCCAATTAAGAACAAAAATTGAAAAATATAGGCGGCAATCTTTTGAAAGTGAACGAAGACGGTGAAGTAAGCTGACAATAAAGAGCCATTTAGATTTAGGCAGTGAACTAAGTCCCAATCTGACACGACCTGTCCCGACCCTCCCTATCCCATCGACTCCGAGAGCACTCATGCGACTCGAGTGACCGAGACGTGCAATGTGAGAAAACTATAAAAACCTGTTTATGAATTAAAACATCATAAAATTCTTCTAGCTAAAACATTTATAAACACTCCTTTTTGTTTGCCCAAAAAAAAAAAAAAAAATTATAACATCATTTGCAAATAAACAAAATACAATTGAATTTTCCGGTATTAGATTTTTCCATATCTTTTACAATCCAAAACATGAAATAAATACAAGAAACATAAACTTTGCAGCAGAAAATAGAACACAGCTATGGAACATATGCTGAAATAAAGTCGTGTGACCCAACCTTGAGTGAGATTCACTCCTTTGCACGATCTCCTTCTGGACCTAGTGGGGGAAAAGAAAAACATTTGAAAATGAGGGGTGAGCTAGAAATGCTCAATGAGTGGGGAATGGGTTAGTATGTAATAGAACATTTCAATATATAATGAAAACATTCATGCTTACAAAATTTCATTTGCAAAACTTCTTTCTGAAAACTATTATGGTAAACAAATCAATACTCATGTTTCTCTAAACATATCATTTCTCAAAACATTTCATATACAAATAACATTTTCATTTTTAAATAAATGATATACATTTATATATCCAAACCATTTCTCAATCACAAGTGAAAACTCTCACCCAACTAGTACTCAGAGGTAAATCTGTCCAACCCGGCAAGATCTAACATCGTGCGGATTGAACCACCAAATCCATCCTGCTAGGCGGAATCAGTCACCGCTCAAGCCTTCGACCCAGTGAGACTAAACATCACTCAAGCCGGTACAATCATATCCTGTGTAGTGATATCTGCCTCGCTCGGGCCTTCGACCCACTTAGGCCAGCAAATCAAATCCTGTGTAGCAATATCTGCCTCGCTCGGGCCTTTGACCCACTTGGGCCAGCAAATCAAATCTTGTGTAAAGATATCTACCTCGCTCGGGTCTTCGACCCACTTGGACCGGCAAATCATCAATCATACGCATGCTTAGAATCAAATCAATATCATGAGGGGGATGGGTCCTACATACTCATACACATTCTCAAAACATTTTTCTAATAAAATAAAATAATTTCATAACTTCTCATGTAACGTAAAAATATAAATGTAAGTTCTCAAATGTTTTCAAATCTAACAAGTTCAACCCATTTTCATTTCTTTTCAAATTGTTGTCCAAAAGCATCAAAATTCAATCTTTCTCATTTCAATCAACAATTTCCAACAATAACATTGCAATAAAGCTCATTTATATAAAGAAATCAAACATATTAGACAATTTAAAACAATAAACAAGTATAAATAAACATTTAGAGATAACTTTGTTAAAATAAAAGTTAAGGGTTTAGATTTTTCCACTCACATTTTGGAGCTCGACCCTCAAGCCGAAAAAATTGAACAATAATACTATATTTACAAAGAAATCTTACAAAGTGAGGTGGTAAAAAATAAATGGAAGAGTGAAACAAAAAGTCAAACTCATTATAATCACTTTTTCATTCATTTTTTGTCACATCACTTTGTATGAGAATCTTTGTAAGATTTATTTATAAGTGTATCATTACTCAAAATTGAAATCCTCTAACAATGCCCCTGCTTGCCTCCCTATATACAAAATCCAATAAATCCTCCATACATAAGTCCCCCTAAGGTAACATCTCAATATTAAAATCATTGGACACTTCACACGCCAAAAGATTAACCTAACTTATTCTTTAACAAAACTGTCTCATAACTGAACATCAATCGCTCTCGGATTTTTCATAAAAATTCCATTCATCAATTTAAGCCATAATTTTAATTGGCATTTTAGAGACATATAAGTTGTTTTCATAATTTTCTCAAGTCATTCTAGAATAAATAAATATTTAAAACACAATTTTCTTTCAACTCTTTCAAATCTGCCAACTGTTTCCAGAATTGAGGTTACTGACTTGTAAAATTTATAACAATTCAGCCCTTAATCTAAACCTCATGAAACTCTCCAGAATTAAATTATACGCATATAAGATTCACCAGAATTTAAAATCATTCAATTTGGATAAGAATAGATGCATCAAATCATTTTCCAAAAATACATGTTTTGCAGAAAATGAAAATTTCAGAATTCTCAGGGCAGATTTCAAAAATCCAGATAAAATTCAATCCTTTGAGTTTTTGAGTGAAATAAATTTCTAAACAATCCTCAAGAAGCCTACAACAAGATATCCAAAATTCAGCTTCGATCAAAAACCCAAAACATGTAAACAATTTTCGGAATCGCAGATGGACAGATTTTGCACAATAAACCCTTATATCAAAAATCATATCTTTAACCCATTTTTGTTTAGGAACAACATGTATGTTCTACCCACACGAAATTATTAAAATCAATCTCCCTATTTTAGTTTTGTTTTCATGAATTTATACCAAATCATAGACAAAGCAATCCAAAGAGAGTTCTTTAAACCAATTGAATCATAAATCACCAAAAAGGGAAACATCAAGCTTTACTCACCTCCCATTTGCTCAATCTCCCTTTGCTCTTTCCGATCACTGGAATTTGCTCACCGGCGGCCACTTTTCCAGCCACCTCCGTCTCTTCTCTCCTCTCTCTCTATTATTGGTTTCATCTTTGTCTCCCTTCTCTTCTTCTTCTTTCTCCCTTTTCTCTCTTTTCTTTCTCTCCTTTTCCTTCTCTCTTTTCCTCTCTTTTCCTTCTTCTTCTTCTCCGTTTTTCTTTTCATTGAAGAGAAACACTATGCATACTACTGGTTTTTACTAACTAGCCTACAACATGACATGGCATCTGACGTTCAGATGCCAATTCATGCCACGTCAGATAGTTTTTAAAAAAAAAATTCCCCAAAAAATTCCCGTTTACGAATTTTTTGCCCAAAAAACCATTTGTGAATCTCCTTCTCCTCTAAATCTCCAGCCACCACTCCGGCACCGAAAATAAACTCCGGCACCACCTTTAACTTCACCAGCCTCCCTTGAGCAAAACCCCTATCATCCTCACCGGAGATCACCCACCAATCGCCGGTTGTCGCTCATCTAGGGTTCGCACTCTTCAAACCAATTTTCGGTCGATTTCGGCATCAGAAATCTACCTCGACGCCACCTTTCACCTCACCGGCCTCCCCTGAAAAAACCCCTATCATCCCCACCGAAGATCACCCACCAATGCAATGTTTGAACTTGTTTTCTGGGTTTGTGATTGTTTCAATTAACTGCAATGTTTTTTTTTTTTTTCATTTTTCTTTTTGGTTTACAGCTCCATGGATCGGTTCTGTTCGTCAATTGAATCAATCATTGGTTCCATCAAATGCTGGAACTTCTTTTGGAAAACAATGCTTTGTAAAACCAATTTGTGCAGAACTATTGATTGCTTTTGACTGTAATAATTTCTAGAACCAGGAAGTTCATTTCAGAACTTGAGCATTGATTGTCTGCTCATGGATACTTGTAAAAGATTGATGCTTTTCAGTATTTTGTGTGATAGTGAATTGCATATATGCCACGGTTTTGATTACTATTTATTCATGAATTTATATGGGTTCTGAAGTATATTCATTGATATATATAATTTGCAATATTGTTGAGTAATCTGGTATATCTTCGCTACAATGCTTTTTGGGTCACTTTTGTTGAGTTATAAGTTAGGTTCTAGTTGAAAGAAGTATCATATGTTATAATATGCTGAATTATTCTTGGTTGATTAAGATATCTCAATGGTCTGCAAGTTAATTAATATGCATGTCAATTTCTGTACTCGCTTCTTTATATGGGCATCCTGTATCCAGTTTGTTTGGAGTGAGGTATTCAATACCATGTATCTCTGCCCTGTTGTTGTTTATGAACATCTTTTGTTTGATCCAGTAGTGCTTACTGAATCAATATGCATGGGTTATCTAACAATGGAATAGTTTCTTCTAAATTTATAAAGAAGCAGGCCGATATCTTTTTAACATGCAATAAACTAGGACATCAAAAACACATTCTGTTTGACTGTTTTCTAGATGAATATTATCCAAAAAGTATATTTGAAACATGACCAAGCCGAGTGCTTTTCAGTTAAGATATATTTCAAGAGGCATTGATTAATTTTATTTTTTATCAACAGCCTTGCAATTGCAAAAGAAGGTGAGCTTACTATTGGCACAATTGATGACATCCAGAAGCTTCATATCCGTTCTATACCTCTTGGGGAGCATGCACGCTATATTTGTCATCAAGAGCATTCCCGGACTTTTGCTATTTGTAGTTTGAAGAACCAGTCTACCGCAGAAGAATCTGAAATGCACTTCATCCGCTTGTTAGGCGACCAAACATTTGAGTTCATATCAACTTACCCACTTGACACATTCGAGTATGGTTGCTCCATCCTCGGATGCTCCTTCTCTGATGATAGTAATGTTTATTACTGTGTTGGGACTGCCTATGTTCTGCCGAAAGAAAATGAGGCTACCAATGTAAACTAGATGCAGGTTATCTTTGTTTTCAGTTTGAGATTGACATATTGTAGCAATGTTCCTATTTCAATTGTGTCTTTTCTCTGTGTAGGGGAGGATATTGGTTTTCATAATGAAAGATGGTAAGTTACAACTGATTGCGGAGAAGGAAACTAAGGGAGCAGTTTATTCATTGAATGCCTTCAATGGCAAATTGCTTGCTGCTATCAATCAAAAAATCCAGTTATACAATGGCAAATTCTTGACGATGACATATACCTTGGTGCTGAAAACAACTTTAATCTCTTCACAG